CACGGCCCCGCGGAGCCTCGCAGAAATTCACGGGGATAACCCCAGGGGGCTGCACAGAAGGGGCGCGTTCCTCCTTCTCCCCTCTCTCCGCAATCCAGACCCTTCCTGGGGGAATGACGGGTTTGCTTTGCCTTTCCTGGAGGGTTTTTTCCCATTTTTAATCGGTGCGGGATAAGGGGGGTGAGGGTCCCGCCTGCCTCCCCTGGGACACCCACCGCCGAAAATCCCGGATTCCGAGCTCAGAATCCTCCTGGATCACCCGACACTGATCGCCCCCGCCGTCGCAGCCCGGGATTTGCCTTCCAGCAGAAACTCTCTTCATAAATAAGTTTAAAACGCCCGTTTTGCGGCACTAACGCCCCTTTCCATGCTCCGTGGCAGCGCCTGGCACCGGAAAAATAAATGTGAGATGAGACGGGCACAAAGCTCCCGAGCTGGAGGCAAAAGCTGCGTGCCTTCCACTGGAGGAGCCAGCATTGCCGAGAGAATTCCGAAAAAAACGGGAGAAATTTCTCTACCGCTTTGCTCCAACCCCTCCTTTTAAAGTTCAGTGTCAGAGAAAATAAAGAGGGCTTTAAGACCCAAAAAATGAACGTCTGTCCTGGCGGAAGCCAAAGGTTCCCACTTTCTATCATTGGTGCTTTGGGATAAGGAGGGGGAAAATAATAATCCACTTTTTTTCTTTTTTTCTTTTTTTTTTTTTTTAGCATAATCTGGTGGGAGAAGCCGCCGTCCCCGCTGGAGGATGGGGAAGTGATGCCAGAGGCTCTCGGGTCTGTGGTGAGGCTTTCTGCAGGGAAAAAAAATCTCCTTGGTCTTCGATAGCTGCGGATTTGCCAAGAGAGGGGGAACAGAAAGGGAATTTTTTTTTAAAAAAAATTCCTTTTCACACAGTGTGTCCTGCATTTCCAAACTCACGGGAGGTTTGCAGGAACGTCGGCTGAAATCCCGAATAATAATAATAATAATAATAATAATAATAATAATAATAATAATAACTGGACAGGCAGAAATGGTCGCGGTAACACACGATTCCTCCACCCGCGGCCACGCAGGATGTTACTCGGTTATAGCCATTCGTAGTAAATAAATGAATTAATGAAATTTTTAAAATATAATAATAATAGTAATAATTTAAAAAAATAATAATAAATCCTGGTGACTCGGGAATTAAAGAGGAATTGGGGTAGAGGAGTGCAGAAAGCAGCGACCCGGACGGGGCTGGGAAAAGCGGCTCAGCTGCTGAGGTGGGAATTGAACTGCATAAAAGGGCTTTTCCCAAATATTAAAAAAAATATATATATATATAAATAATAAAAAATATGAAAATGTGGAAAGAAAGAAGGGAAGAGACTCCCGGAATTCCCTCTGTTTCCACGGCTGTTGCGCTGGCGAGCAGGAGTAACCCGGGCTCCGGAGCTGCCCCGGGGCCGGGCTGCTGCCACCCCCGCCCCATCCCCCGCGGAGCCCTCGCCGAGGTTTTGTTCACTTGGGGTATTTTTATCTAAATCTTGATCGCTTACACTAAACCACAAAATACTCTCAGCGTAGGGAATCGCTTCCTGATTTTGAGCTCATTCTCGTTATTTGGGCGTTTGAACGGCGAGCAAAAGGGAGAAAATGTTATTTATTAGGGGGGAAAATAAAATACTTCCTGAGTAGGGAAGAAAATCGGAGCCCAGCTTGAAAAGGGGGATATTTTTCAATACGCCGTGATTACATTTTGCGGAAGGAGGGAAACAAAATCAATCTCCAAACCGAGGGGGAAGCCCAGCGCCGGGGGAAACTTCGTGAAACGCCGGCGGCGCAAACGCTCGGAGCGAGGCAGCGGAAAAACGGAGCGCTCCTCCTGCCGTGACCCCCCGGCTTCCATCAGCGTTCAGGAAATGCCAGGGCCACTTTGCCCCTAATCTCTGCTTATTAAGCAAAAAAAAACCGTGCCGTGCTTATAAAACCGCAGGTAACAAGGGAACTGGCGATCCCCTCGTGCGCCGGGGATCTCCACCCTGTGCCGGGGGTTTTGTTATTAAGAAAATGCAAGAAGTCAGTAGTTACCTTTAGAACACTCCCTCGGGCCGGGGCTGGCCGGCCCTCCGCGTGTCCCCGAATTACCGGGTTATTGCCGGGGCACGGCGCCGTTTTTGGGAAGGGTCCTCGGCGGGAGGAGGATCCCCTGCGCTCAGGCCGGGCCGTGCTGCTCGCCGGGCGTTTATGTCAAAGGGAGAAAAAGAATTTATTTGAATTAAGGAGCAAATTCGGAGCAGCCGCACGGGCCCCAGCCGCATCCCCCGAGCACTTTGTGCCCCCGAGGCTCTGCAGCTTTCCTTTAAAACCACCCAAATACCCTCAAATAACCTTCTTTCCCCCCTCGTCCGCGTTCCCCCGCACGCCTCACCCCAGTTCCCACCCCTAAACGCTGCTGCGGTTCTCTCTCCCCGCGCCTCCGCGGCTGCGGAGAGAGAGCTTGCCATATTTGCATATATGGTAATGAGCTCCTAATTGCCAGGCTGGCTGCGCTTTGCTGATCGATTTCGAGCAATCCAGAGGTTAAGGAAGCTTGGAAATAGCGCGGCTCCCAG